ATATATATGCTATGTAGGAGCGAACGTTAAAAAAATGTTAAAAAACAAGATGGACAGCGTTTTACACAGGTTAGCCTTTGGCTTAGCAGTTAGCCCCGCTCTATGTCTCCTCCACTGTCGGATGTTACTGGTGCGAAGCTCAGTTGCTTCCTGGAAATAGCCGGCGTAGTATACCGAGCCTATGTAGAAGATCCAAAGTGGTCGCATCTACTACATCTATTGTTTAAGCAGACTTTAACGGTGCTATCATCAACCAGTGCAGCTGCAGCTTAACAGGGCACCACTATCATCATCATATTAATAAGATGTACTGATGTTCACCTAAACTTTTGTTTACCTAATTTGAAGGCCGACTCAAGACCTGATGATTTCATTAACACCTCAAGAGGCTAAGTGGATGAGTCAGGGACTCACCAACCCAATCAGCTTACATTCTTTTTTTTATATTTCCTGTGAAGCCAGGAATATCTCTGCTAATCATTTTTCATTTTTCTGTTTGAGATAGAAAAAGTACCGTGACTTCCGCCTTCAAGGGGTACTGGACTCTACGCTAAACACTAAGATGTACGAAACTGTAAGAAACCGACTAACCTTGGAAGAAGCCACGGCATCGGTGAAAGAAGGAGGGATGCAAGGCATTTCAATGAAGGACAGCGATGAAGAAGATAACGACAACTAGATCAAAAGAGTTGAAATAATAATGATTTCAGTGTTTTTCAAAGGGTCAGGTATATTGCCTGACAGTCCACACCAGTCCTTCTATAGAGTCAAAATAATTTGGCCTGTTCCCTCCATTGCTTGGTTTTAGTTTTTCTGTTGCCAATACTTCCACAATTCTGTTAAATTTATGACATTTATTATTATGTTTATACTATTATGTATCTTTAAAAACCTTCAAGTGTGTCAATAATCATCACTTTAAATCTTCAAAGCTAAATTTCCAAATAATTAAGGCTTGTACCTAAATTATCTTTTGCCTTAATTATTTAGTCTTTGTATTCTGTTCTTGTTTATACTTTGAGAAAAACAGTGTTGTCTCTGCACTTCTGCTGGAAAAACTCTCAAGTGATTTAGGCCATTATACTGTGATTTCAAGAAAAACAGTAAAACTAATACATGTGTCTGTCTATTCCAAAGTCTGCCTGCAAATGCAGGATGAACTTTGCACTGTCAAATTCACATCGTGTCTGATGGAAGTGTCGCAAGAAAATATGGATATTTATTTGTTGGTATTCACCTGGCCCAAAACAGCTAAATTAAAGCATTCAGAAGTTTTTTTTAATGTTTTCCACCAATATGGATGACAGTTTTCTTTCCATATGATATGACTATGAAAAAGTAATTATCTTGTTTTGTTGCACCAGATGTGAAAGTGATTTAAATTCTCTTCCTTTGTAATGGTTCAGCATCATTTCTCAACTAAAAAAATCAAATTAATGTTTTTTTACATTATGTGATGTTATAGGATGTGACAGTGACGGTTTGTTTTTTGCAGGCTCTAAAACATGCTTTGCAATTGCCAACAGCAAATGTGAGACAACAAAAGAAATTCAGCACATTATCAACAGTACGACTGGTGGTCACATAGAATCATTTTACACCAACAAAAAATATACATTTGAATACATCTTTAGAAACCCTATCGCTAGTGTCATATGATAGGAACTGTGTCAAGTTTTCAGGGTGTAACAAGTGTTAGAGGTTCAACATTACAAGTGTTTGGTTCAGTGTATGAATCAAATGATTCCTGTCTAGTAATCTAAATCTAAATGTCATGTGGTGTATGGAAGGGCAGAATGTGAATTCAGAGGACAGGGTTCAAAATTGGACCTTTATTTAAAGCTGACAGGTGAAAAACAAAGTCAAAAAATAATAGTGGTAAGTCTACAATGTCTAACACATAGAGAACAAATCCTACAAAAACACAAAAATGGGGGTTCAAATAAATGGAGGTAAATGGAGAAATAGAAAACAGCAGGGAACACAGATGGAACTAATCAGGGAAAACAAGACAAAAGAAGTAGGAAAACCCAAATAATTCAAACTAAGAAGGCCTGAGAATATAAACACAAACAGAAAACCTAACAAGATTTCAAGAACGAAGCAGTAAACGCTGAATGGAGACTGGAGGGTGTTCTCCAACTACAGGGGTGGAATCACACTCCTTACTTTCCCTGGGAGTGTGGACTGGAGAGAAGAGCTTGTCTGTTAGTCGAATGTTGGATACAAGAGGATCAGTGCGGTGTTTGTGGTTTTCATGGAACACTGAACCAGCTCTTTATTCTCTCAAGGACAATTGAGGGTGGGTGGGAATTTGCCCAACTAGCCTACATGAGATTTGTGGACCTAGAGAAGTAATTTGTCCACATCCCTCGGCGTATCCTGGAGTATGTGGTGTCTGGTCCATTGCTATGACCTGTTTTATCCCTCTATAATCATTGCACGAGCTTTGTTTGCATTGCCGGCAATAAGTCGGACTCATTCCTGGTGCGTATTGGACTCCACCAGGGCTACCCTTTGTCACTGACTCGCTTTGAAGTTTTTATGGACAGGTTTTCTAGGCATAGCCATGTGGCAGAAAGCTTCCACTTTTGTGGCCTCAGAATCTCATCTCACCTTTTTGCAGATGATGTGGTTCTTGTTGGCTTCATCAGCCAAGTGTGAGTAATTGGGAATGAGAATCAGGACCTCCAACTCTAAGGCCATGGTCTCAGCTGGAAAAGGGTGGGGTCCCTACTCAAATTCAGGGACGAGTTACAACCCTAAACGGAGGAGTTTAAGTATCTTGGGGTCTTGTTGACACGTGACTGAAGAAGGGAGCTTGACAGACAGATTGTAGGCCGGAGCTGCAGTGATGCTGACGCTGCATCAGACCGTTGTGGTGAAGAGAGAGCTGACCTCTTGATTTATCAGTCAATCTGCGTGGCATGCTATCTACGTGCTCAGACTGGTGAACCAAAATTGAGGAGCTCATTTATGTTAATGTACTTATACTCCTAAACTAAAAGTTTAGAGTATTATGGATTTGGCTTTCCACCAATTGACAGAGCAAGCTACTTTCTGTTTTCTTTTATTGCTAAACTTGGTGCCTAAATAACAGTGAAATAGTGAAAAAAAATTGCATGTAGCAAAATATCAAGATGTCAAATTTAAACAATATGCTGTTATGATGTTATTATGTATTTGCCTTGCACAAAAATGGCTTATATGTCACAGATGCAGCAAACAGAGAGCTGGTAGAGAGCTTGTACTGTTAGAGTATAATTGTACTTTTTGGTTTTGTTTATTTATTTTTGGGGGTAAATCGATAAAATAAAAAAAAAGTATGGGGTTATGGATGGTCCCTGAACATTAACAAGAAAGTACATGAAACAAAATATGGAGTGCATAATCAGTTCAACATATGTAGTTGGACTTAAATGAGGCACACCTAAATGTTATTAGTCTGTCAGTGCACCCAGATTTTTTGCATGACTTGAAATTGTGGCCACAAAATAATGTGAAGGAATAATGTGTTAAATATCGGTATGTATGTGTTTTGTGCAGTAGAACTGGAAGACAACCCTTTGTGAGTTGCAGGGTCATCACAATACACACAATCACTTTTTTTCCCTTTACAAAGTAAATGATGCACTGCCAGTAATTTAAGTATTTGGTTAAACGGCCACAGATAAATATATGAGCAGCACAAGCTGTGTGCATTAGTTTGAACATCAACCTTGCATCTCTGGCTTTTCCTAACTTTGTTTGGTTTATGCATATAGTACAGCAATACACTTGTAGTTCGATTTTTAATTACACTTCTAGAGCAATTTTTTTCAACATTTTTCACATTTTAAATTTTAGAGCAAATCTTTTTTTAGTCGACTATATGTTTAAATAATACCATTTATTTGCCATTTGTTGTTTGTTCTTGATAAACCAAGTTTCCTATATGTCCCCAAGGCTCTATTGCAGGATCTATGAGGGAATTAATCGTCATTTTTATAATGGACGACAAGAAATGAAGTTTCCTACAACTTTGCTTTTCTCAGTTGTGTTCTTTACCTTGAGTTACATATCATACTGTATGTAAGAATTGCATGGACCTGGTATTTATTTCCCAAAGTGTTTTTGCTCCATGTGTGATGTTACGGGAGGTTCACCTTCTGCCTTCTTGAAAAATCCACTGAGGCCAAGAAGATTTAAATAAAAGTCATTGGAAAGTGTAGAAAGAAGTTTACAGCTCATTTATTTTTGTCTTCAATGTGAATTCACATTGTGAACTGTAAGAATGTGACCCAGGAGGGTGGAAAAGAAGAAACAAAGTGAAAGAAATAACAACAAAATCCATATTTGTTAATCTGTGCCCATGACCTCCTGACTTGCTCCACAGCAGCATTTTCTTAAGACACAGAGTCTTAGATTAATTCTGTGGATTAAAGTCATCTTGAGCGTTTATAGTACCACCCTGAAGGAGATTTAGCTGCATTGACCAAAATCAAATCCAGAGCTGAAGATGAACGCTATGACTAAATTCGAGGAGATTAGATATAATATCATTCCAAATTAAAAGAGGACAGGATATCTCTTAATTAATCTATAGACGGGAAGGGACTGAGGGGGATGGGGGGTGCTTGCGTGTTGGGGAGTGGCGGGGTGATGTGGGGGTGAAATCCTTCTTAGAATATGAGGAAAACAAGGTTTTTGGTAAGAACAAGGTCCATCTAATCCCTGGGTGATCCAAATGCTCACTGTGATGACTTCATCATCAGTTTGTTTAAAGCATTTGGACGAGTGCAGAAATAAATAACTTCATAATATCAGCACTTACGGGATCATGTGATAACTATGGAAATTAAATGTATTTCTGCCAAAATAAATAAAAATTTATTTGGGCAATCCATTAACCTCCTAGGACCTGGCGTCCACATGTGAACGTCACATTTTGGGTTATTTAAACCAAAATAATAAATTTTCCTCTACAAGGGCCTGATATCCACTTATGAGGAGATTATGCTGCTACTGTTCTATCGAAATTTTAAACGAATATCCTCATATGTGGCTCTCATTTTTCTTAGAAACAAAAATCAGGTAATTCTTTGTTTTTACATTCATCAGGTCCCAATATGTCAAAATATCAAAGAGAAATTAAAAATGCTGCCGTGGAAGAGTTCGGGTCTTAGGAGGTTAAATCCAATTAGTTTATGTTTTTTTAAAGTAACACTTTACAACAATTGTTATCGCGTGGGGCTTTATTTTGTAAATTAAAGACCAAAGTTATTGTAGTTACCTAAAACTAAACTAAAACAGGATGTAAAAAAGTACAAATGCACAAAATGTAAATAAAAGTTAGAATTTTGAAAGACTGAAATGATTTTGTGAACTTGGAAAAGAAAACAATTTAAAATAAATTAATATAGGAAATAGGTTTAGTTGTAGTTTTTGTTAGTTTGGTAAATTGCATTTCAAAAAGTTGTGTTAGTGCATTTTTAAAAAAAAAATTGTCTCATATATGATCCATACAATAATAATCAAAAGACTAAACAAAAGCTACATATTTTTAAACAACTGACACTGAAACGAAACTGAATTAAGAACAAAGAGTCAGAGCTTAATGTGACTTTGTTTACATTAGCTTGTCTCTGATTTTTGCTGTTATATGTAAAATATGTAAAAGTGCTTTGAGTGGCCAGACTAGTCCCGTCCATTCCAGAAATTTCTTAGAGACAAATGTTAAATAATTTCAATATAAACATATCTTTTGCATATGAACAGACAGTGTATGAAAAAAGCCGTGTGCTTAAACATCTAAAATCTGTGTGATGTGATTGAAATGTGTTTTTTTAAGATCAACTGAAACTAATTCTGACTCTGTGAAGTCTGGACTGGATTTTATGTGGAACTTTCACTATAAGAACACAAAAATATCTGCTGGGTATGTGTATGCCACCTCACATCAGAGGAACAATTAATGAATCAATGCCTACACTTTAGACTGAAGACATTTCCATTGGTGAGGGCAGATTCAATGGTGTAATGTTAAACAATGCTAGCATTTTCATACATTCCGAGTAACAAAGGGATTTTTAGTTACATTCTTCATTATAGTGTGTGTCCAAGAAAGCTTTCTATTCCTTAAAATATCAAACACGAAATATACTCCAGCGGTCGTTGTTTTGGTAAATACTATTTTAAAGGCTATCATCGCAATAAAAATGAAAAGAAACTATTCGAGTGGAGGAAATGCATGCTCTTTACCTCCACAAAGACTATTCCCTCACATCCTATATAGTAAAAGTAATCAAGAGCAAAGACACAAAGCAGCCTACCTATTTTAACATCCCATCTGCAGTGTGGGTGAGTTGCCTTAGAATCATTCATTTAATTTCCCCATGAATATCTAGACACGATTGGACAGTTCTGTGTGAGAAATGACACCAGGACAGATTAATGGGCCTGGAGATTTATGCTGGCACGATCTGAGCTGCTTTGGCTTTTAAGCTCCAATCAAGTGTGGAAATGGAAAATGATAAGTGTATCAAAATAAAAAGAACCTCCAACTGACCATCACAGTGAGAACTAGCCCCGAATCTTAGTGCTGACAGGCTGCCGCTGTGCTGTGGGGAGTTCTGCAGTAATATGGATGTGAGACCAAGGCATTGCAACACACTGAGCCCATCAAGCCATCGCTGACATGATATATGTGGATAATGACAACAGGAAAATGAAAAACAAAGACAGAAAGCAGCCCACGTGTAGACATTCAAGCTGCCAAATAAATTAGTCTGTGATTTGTTGTGAAGAGGCCTTTCATTTACAACGCTTTTCATATCGTCCTTAAAGGTAAACAATATCCAAACAGAGTAAGCCTGCTGCCCAGGAGACAACGTTATTTTTGTATGACTGCTTTGCGTGCCAGAAGTGTCAAAATTGCCTGCCATTTGCGAGGGCAGGTAGATGTCAGATCCTTTTAATAAAAGCAGCCCCTAAAGCCTCTTATGTTTCCCTCCCCATGCACAAAACCTTCTTATCATGGCCTTAAGAGGGTACAACAGCCCACTGATTAATTTTAGATCTTTTCTGTGAAAAGAGTAGCTTACAGTTTAAAGTAATCTCACACAATGTTCAGACAAGACATCAGAGCAGATTTTGTTATTCTTTGGCAGTGAATAATACGCAGGACTGTTTGTCCCGTTTCACCATCAAATACAGTAAAGCCCATATGCAGATCAACAGTATCACATTATTACAGAGGGGAATCTGTCTATCGAACATTTTGCCGTACCCCTACCAACTTCCTCTAAAGACAGAAAATAGTTGCATTAAAAAGAAACAAGAATGAAATTTGGGTTGTTTTGTTTTTGTTTACGTCTTCTTACCTGGATGAACTGGGCTTGCCACAGCGCATCTCTGAATGCTGTGGCCAAGGACTCCTTTCCAACAAATCGCATTTTACATATGTTGTTGATAGAGACAGAAGTTGAAGGTGTTCGTGTGCAGTGGAGGGACATTTAAATTTGTGTCTGCACCCTCAGACTCAAGATATCATGGTTTATACCTTCTTTGGTTCTCTTCACTGACGAAGCAAAAGTGCAAAAACAGGAAACGCCACTGGCATCTTAATAAAATCAAAATAAAACCTCTAGCCTCATTTCCTGAATGAGGGCTCTAACGCTCAAAAGCAAGCTTAAAAAAGCTTATTTATTCATAGATTCAGGGTCACCTGGTCCAGCCCTAACTATATGCTTTAGCAAAAAGGAAAGTTTGAAGCCTAATCTTGAAAGTAGAGATAGTGTCTGTCTCCTGAATCCAAACTGGAAGCTGGTTCCACAGAAGAGGGGCCTGAAAACTGAAGGCTCTGCCTCCCATTCTACTTTTA